GCACATACAGTCACTGCCCTACCAGTAGCAGCACAGGCCTTCTTGGTGCCCAGAACTGCATCTCATCAGTGCTAAAAGCTTCATGATTCAGGAGTGATTGCCAGCTATTATTTCCGTATCACTGACCCACCTGAGGGGTCACAGCCCCTCTCAACTTGACTTCCAGACAATGCCATCAACTAATGGCTCCTCTGACGATTGGTGTCCACTCACCTCCCAACTAATGCCTCACTTCTCATTCTGTGATTCAAGGTCTTGAGATATGGAGCTTTTCTTTGACCCACACTCCATATTAGCCCTGTATTAATATTAGTAGGTGATCCGCAATGTTTTTCTCCAGTGTGATTTCTCCTTCTTTCTCTCCTAGAGAAACTGAGCATCAGCAAAAAAGGTTGGCCTCTCCTCATCTGTTAATCCCAAGAGATCACCCCCAAGAATGACAAACCTTTCCAATTCTATGTAAAGCTTTATTCCATTCATAGAACTTCCATACGTGATAGAAGTTAGTAGCTTTTCCTTTGGGCAAACTGCATAACTTTTCAGAGGTTTAGTTCCCTAAATATAGATGAAAAGACCATAAAAGCCTCTTCCAGATCTAAAATAACAGGATTTTTTCTGGAAATTTAGTCACCAAGAGGCTTGGTAGTTCTAAGGTTAAAGAACCTGACTGCTAACAGTCAGTAGTTCAAACTTACCAGTTGCTCCAAGAGAAAGATGTGGCAGTTTCCATAAAGGCAGAAGCATAGAGCCTTGGGAATCCTAGGGGTAGTTCTACTCGGTCCTATAAGGTCACTATGATGGCAGGGGTTCCGGTCACAAAAGATGCTCTCTGGTTGAAATGTTCAGTCAGGACTCCTGGAATCACATCCACACTGGTCTTCTTGGTTTTAGCGTCATGTGACTACAGTTTATTCTTAAATTACCATCATACTAACTCTTATAATGTATGGCTCTGAGCAGATTACTCTTCAGTTCAAATTTCCCAAATTTCAGTTGAAGCCAAATAGACAATTTCACAGTCCTGTAAACATGTTCTAGTTTTTTAACTTTATATGATTGTTCATGTCATTATTTTTCTGTAATGACACACCCCACCCTAACAAAAATCCTATATATTCTTTAAGATCTGGGTGAGATCATTTCATAATAACTTTAGAGCAAAGAGATTGCTCGATCTCCATCTCCTGAACTTCTGTGCTACCATTTTTTCATATAATTCACACAGGCAACTTTGATTGGGAATCTATGATATGTCTGTCAGATCACTGCTTTGTTGGCCTTACTTTGAATACTGGTGAGCTCATATATATTCATCTACTCTTCCAAGGTGGATTGAAAGCTTCTTGATGGCATTTTTTTTTTTTTTTTTAACATCAACTTTGTACCATGCAAAGTGTCTTACACAAATCCAAAACCCATTGCTGTAGTTGTCGTTAAGTACCGTGTAGTCGGTTCCGACTCATAGTGTCCCTGCACAGGGTTTCCGAGGCTACAAATCTTTACGGGAGCAGAACGCCTCATCTTTCTCCCATGGAATCGCTGGTAGTTTCGAATTGCTGACCTTGAGGTTGGCAGCCCAACTCATAATCACTACACTACCAGAAGTCCTTATTGCTGTGGTAGTGTAGTTTAATTTTTTTGTTGTTGCCCAAGTTCATTGGTAGTACATGCCTGCAATTATAATAATTCATAGAAAAGCAATTTTAAAGCAGAGGAAGACAACTACAAGCATTGTTCACTGTTACTGGTTGATTTGGGGCTACAGTCTAGATGTCGTCATTCCACAGGGCTGCCTGCTTAGCCACAGTGATTAGCGGAGGCACCATTTGACGTGCAGGGACGTGAACTGTTTGAAGGGTTACATTTCTGAGCATCTCCTGCGGCAGTACTGCAGAGATGTAGAGTTTTCAAGGCACCTGGTTAATCTGGCTCTTACCGTGCCTCTAGCATCAGGGAATAAAATGAAGCAACTCTCAAACAAAAGACAATAACCTCATGGATTAAACAACTAATACTGTGTGTCCCGAGCCACTCAGCCCTTGCCTTTGCTAGCGGCACCATCCTGGACCAGATGCACCATGGCTTGACTCCAGGAATGAAACTGTACATTCTGCTGAAAGGGTAGCCAGGCCGCTCAAGGGGAAAAAATACTAATTGTAAATCCTTTCTATTTTTAGGCTTAATGTGCATTTTATTTGGCAGGAAGGGCAGCACGAATAAAACTCTAATGCTAAGAATTTTAATTTGCTTCTTCAAAAATGCTCATGGTAATGGAGACTTCGGGAAGTTGCTTCCACAATGTCCTTGTCTTCCCTTTAATATCCTCTCAGTCATGCATGCCAGATACTTCTTTAAATACATGTAACTTTAAACCCATGATTCCTCAGTACAGAATTCTCACAATGACTTGAATGAATGATGCATTTCATCAAGAGCATTCTACCATTTCATGAAGTTCCCCTGTTGGATTTTATGGCGTGAGTCTCTCACTTTCCTCTATGAATATTTTGTCTCTCTTATTTTTAATTGAATTTGCTATTTCTAGCTTTATATTGTACTTCGGAATGTAAAAGTTTCTTAAAGGTGGTGGTGTGGTGGTTGTATGCCGTGGAGTCAGTTCTGATTTATAGGGAACCTGTTTAGGATTTCCAAGACTGTAAATCTTGACAGGAACTGAAAATCTCATATTTCTCCTATGAAGCAGCTGGTAGATTTGAACTTCTGACCTTATGGTTAGCAGTCCAACCTACTATGCTACCAGTAGGGCCTTGCTTACAGTTTATAGTAGAGCTGTCGACTATATAATGTGTTATAAACTATATTCTTCCTGCCAAATGAAGTCCTGGTGTGGCGTTGCAAGATTATGCCTGGACTACAAGGTCAGTTTGAACTGCAAGGTCGATGGTTCAAATCCACTAGCCACTTCTCGGAAATCCTATACAGAAGATACATTAGTCGGAGCTGACTTGAAGGCACTTAACAACAACAACACAGTTTATTAAATGGTATTTCATAGAACGCATACATTACATACCATAACCTTACTTAATGTTTCTTAGGACATGGATTTTGAGAACATAAACCCAACTAGCAAGAGAAGAAAAGTCTGATAATAAACTAGATTTTTAATAAATGTTATGTATGTACATCATTCTTATTCCTCTCATCTCTCCACTCATTGTTTAGCAAATTTCTTGTTGTTGTTAAGTGCCACCAAGCTGTTTGCAACTTACGGTGACCCTGTATAGGGTTTCCAAGGAGTGGCTGTTGCGTTTGAACAGTTAACCTTGCAGTTAGCAGGCCAGTGCTTATTTTAGAGTGCCACGCTAGAACTCCAGAAAACCCCTAGTTAGGGTCAGATTCTAGGGGATCATGCTTCCCCTTAAGGGTCTATGAAAAGCTATGGGTCCTTCACCTAGAAAATTGTCTACCACTTAGCATACACAAAACTCAGTTTTGAATTCTACTGGAGAGGGCTAGAGGACCCTAATAGTCTGAAGCATCTAAATTAAGGATGAATTCTCCACAGTATAACCCTTCTTTCTTTTTTTTTTTTTAAGTTTTTATTGTGAATTATGTGGGTTTACATGGGAGAACATCAATTTTCCATTCATCCTATCATATTTTGTCTTATTGCAATGATTACAATCCTGTCTATGCATCATCAAATAACTAAAGGATACACCCCACAGGCCCACTTCCCAACTGTCAGCATACAGCCCCTCTCCCTCCCTGAGTCCCCTGTCCCCAGACACTCCATCTGTCCACATCATCATCTCTGTCTCCATGCCTGATGTCACTGCCTCTCTGGGTAGGGTCACGCTCTCTGCTCTTCTCACTTGATGGTCCCAGAGACCTCCGCTCCTGGGCTGCAAAATCAATCATTCCCCTCTTTTTGTCAAAACAAAAAACAAAACAAAACAAAAAAAACCATCTACCTCTACATTTCCACCCTCACAGTCAGTCCTGATGGTAATTATTCACTATTGTACCACAAGAGTCTTATCCCCATTTATTTTTGCCAGCCTGATCCCAACAGATTGGAAATAATTCAGTGAAGGTTCTACCTACCCCTGCCCAGTCAGAAACTAGGCTCCCTCTTGAAAGCTTATAAGCCAGTCACTTCATTCCTTTATAGCCGCCCCCCTCCCATTTTGGGTAACCAATGTCTAAGTAGCCCTTCCCTGTCAACCTGTGTACCAAGGGGGTGGAAGTGATCCTTGCTGTAAAGATTTGTTACCTTTTTTGAGCTACTACATCCATACATATAGGTAAAGTTCATCAAACTGTAGTGGGTTACTCTTTTTTTTTCCCCCTTCCCTTTTCTTTTAGTCAAGTTCTGATCATCCAGTCATCAAAGCCAAGTCAAATGGGTACTGTCTGAAAGTATGGGTGTTCTTGTGCATCTCCCCTCACTTCATGTCAGCTGGACACTTCACTCTTTACTCTTGTCCTCTGTGGCCATGTCACTGCCTCTGGGCCCAGGAGTCCCTGGGTCTTGCTGTAACTGCTGGCCATCCAGGTCTCCTCCTGGGTTCACAGAAGTCTATTGAATGTGGTCAGACTTAGATCCCAACTTCATTTCTGTTTCTGCCTCCCTTCCCTTTATTGGTGACCAACATGTTCGCCAGCCAGACCATATGCCTGCTGCTCGTATATTCGCCTTGAGTCTTAGTCTTGGAAGGGCATTTGCTCTGAGGGGACCCGACCACTTCCCTTGATGGCTCCCATGAACCCTTATTTCTTATGCTGTTTCAGAATTTACATAACTGAAACCAGAAACCTAAGATCTTGCTTACTGCTCAATACACCTTCCTTGTAGATCTGGCCCAGAATTCAGGCTAACGTGCAAAACAAAAATATGATCACTGAGGAGAAATATAGAGATGATTAAACAACAGTATCGGAATTAACTCGATAACACTGGGTTTGTTTTGGTTGGGATTTATTTCCCCCTGAAGACTCATGGCATGCTGTGTCAAGTAAGGGAAGCCTCTCACCTTTTGGTCTTGACTGTAGGCCAGAATCCAGTCCTCCTGCTTGGGGTGGAAAAGCAAGCTCTGGATGTAGAAGTTGAGCCGGTACTTTTGATAGGTGGCTCCTTCGTCTGAGCTGATCAACAAGCTGCTCTCAATCTCTGGATCTGTGAGTAACATAATCTGCAGGAGGTAAAAAAAAAAAAATGGGGGAAAAGAAATCCATAGAGCTTAGTTCATAAATTCATAAAATTTGCAAATGAGCTCAATTTTTGACACAGGAGGGTCAAAGGGCAAGCAAAGAATGCATGGCCAACAAGGACCCCCCACTCGGGCTAGTTGAGTCTCCCTTCCTAGACCAATGCTATGAAACCATTTGTACTAAGGAAAGAAAGGGGAAAAGGTGGGGAAGAAGTTGTTGTTGTTAAGTGCCACTGAGTCAATTCCAACCCATAGTGACCCTTTGTAGGGTTTTCAAGGAGCAGTTGGTGAGCTTGAACCACCGACCTTGCAGTTCAAACACCTTTGCAGCCTGACACATTTGCCCACAGCGCCACAGCAGGACTCCAGGGAAGAAGTAGAGACTTGCTTTCTTTTCTTTCTCATAGGTCCCCTTGTTTCATTCTAAGGTTCTTTCTTTGATCTGGAACAATTCCTTCAGACTCAATCCTCTTTCCTACTATGCCCAGTCTTCTATTTGGGGGAGATAAAAGAATAAGATTTGCCAGTCTGTGTGGGTATGGTAGAAAAAAGAGAGAAGATGAAATTCATTTGTTTTTCTCTTCTACTTCAAGCTCTTTTGTTCCATGTCAATGAAGTTCCGTGTTATCCTCCCCCGAGACATATTTTTTGAGTTTTGGGTCAAAGACAAAGCTCTCAAAAGGCTCATTCATAGTGGAAACGCTTGTCTCTCTCCACTTCAAAACCAATCACCTTATCCTGATCTATTTTCTCTCCACGACCCATATCAACGTCTAGCCTACAATGCAATGTATTTGTTTGTCTTCTGTAATCCACCCTACTAGAACGTAAACTCCTTGAGAATAGGGTTGTCTGTTTGTTCACAAGTGTATTCCCAGCAGCAACACGAAAGCCCAGCATGTATCATGGTCTCAATAAATACTAGTGAATGCCAAGTGAATGAATGAACAAATGAGTGCAAAGAGTTTACAGAGGAACTATGTAGGCTCGGAAAGATGTCTGTAACAGTCTGAGGAGATATGAATGAGAGTTACACACAGAGAGAGGTGGGATGCTCTTTTCAATCTCTAACCTATGGATTAAAGAACGTGTTTTTATTGTTTTTGCAAGGTGCCAGCGAGCTGATTTCAACTCACAGAAACGCCATTTGACAGAGTAGATGTGTACAGAGTTTTCCTCTGGAAGGACTCTGCTTGTGCGGTGGTTAAATACTTGGCTACTCATTGAAAGGTGAGTGGTTCGAATCTACCAGCTGCTCCATGGGAGGAAGACGTAGCTGTCTCCTTCCATAAAGGGGATAGCTTAGGAAACCCTAAGGGGCAGTTCTACTTTGTCTTATAGGCTAAGTCTGAGGCAGAATTACCCTGAAGGCAGTGGGTTGGGTTTGGTTTGGTTTATTCTTGGTGGCAGCAGATTATCAGGTCTTTCTCCCATTTCTTGTTGTTAGGTGCCATTGAGTCAGTACCAACTCATAGCGACCCTATGAACAACAGAATGAAACTCTGCCCAGTACTGGGCCAACCTCACAATTGTTGCCACGCTTGAGCCCATGGGTGCTGCAACTTTGCCAATCCATCTTGCTGGGCGTCTTCCTTTTTTTCTCTGACCCTCCACCTTACCAAACATGGTATCCTTCTCCAGTGACTGGTCCCTCCTGACCATAGAAACATACCAAATCCCACAGCTTCAGATGCTCTCCATCTCGCACTGGGATGGCGACTCTCCATTAGAGCTGTGTGAACAGCCCACAATAAGCCTGAGACAGAGGAGCAGCTCTGAAAACTGTTTTTTATTCTCTCACTTTATGACTCTAGGAACGTGTGATAAACTACCTCATTCTCGAGTCTCTGCAGGTCTCCTTTCATTCCGTCAAAGTGCGCATCTAATGTCTCCAGACAGGTGGCCTTAATGCTACCCATTGACTTCTTCCCCATCAACTTATTAATTGGCACTCTGAGTTTGGTTCGGAGAAGCATGAAAGATGTACTTAATGCGTGGTTGTATGAAGAGAAATCACTGCAGCCCGGAGTTTAAAGATTACCAGGCAAGGATGCAGCAGTTCCCAGAAAAGGAGAGAGAGAGCGAGAAGAGCTATGTCTGAAAAGAGCAGAATGCCTGGCAAACATACAGAGCTTTCTCAGGCATTTGGAGGCAATCATATTAAAACCTCCAAATAGTTAATGTCATCTTTGAAAATGGTATCCTGTCACTGCAAATGACACATGAGGATTGGTACAAGACACACTTAGCCTGAACTGTGTTTATGTTACCAAGGATGAATTCAAAGTCCCTTGCCGTCTTTCAACCTCTCCTTCTCAAAGAAAAGAAAAGGGGCATGTAGGGAGAGGGGACACGGTGGCTGTCAACTGCACTCTGGGCATGATGGAAAGTGCACATGGACTTGGAGACTAATTGCTTCTCATACTGAGTTCCGAGGGCACGAAGGCCCACCAACCGTGAATTCTGTCAAAGTTATGGCCTTCCCTGCCTGGCATTCACACAGAAGACAGTGTTCTATCATTGAATGGCTGACGACAGAGCCATCAGGTAATCTGCTAAGTATAAACTCACATGGCTTCATTAAAATCTATTGTTTACATTAAGCAAGGACGTTTAGGTGGCTCCTAAATTCACAAGACTATTTCCAGGTGATTTCATATTTGCTGGCACATAAAAGCTGTCATTTTTCGAATAACAAATAAGCCAAATGATCATATAGCTTTGTCTCCCCAACCACAATTAACAATAATGTATAACAACCTTTTTGCATTACCGCCAAAAAGTAATTTCCATGATAATATAAAAGAAGCTCAGTTTTATAGAACATCTATTGTCTCAGGCAAGATGTCCCTCCCACCCCTCTGATTTTCTATTTCCCTGTTAACCCAAACCAACTTCCCTTTCTTCTCATGAGTATAGATCTTACCACCCACTTCTACTGGCAGACTGTTTCATCAAAATAACACCCCGGGGCCCACAGAATATCCACCAACTGGGATTATTCTTTTTGGCAAGCTCCACATAGCTCGTTTCTATCCTAGGTCATCAGATTGTACCTATGGAGTTTCTGTATCCAGGTAATATTAAAGGAGTGGAGCTTGAAGGATAACACAAATATTTTCAATAATACGGATACTTAATATTATAGAAATAAAATTCCTGGCTTTACTGATTCTTCTCCTACGTATTAAAAATCCCCTCTTTTCTCTGTCACTCTCACCTGAAATCCTCCAGCTGGGCATTTGGCATTTGGAAATAATGGAAGATAGTTGAAAATGCCCCTTTGAAGAAGGATAGGTGTGTCTGGTATATTATACAAATCTTTCAATGGTTCCTCCCTCAAATCTCCTCTCAAATCCACTCAAAGCAAGCAGGTTAGTCTGGATCCATTTCTGCTTAGCCATTTTTATTTCACAAACAGCTGTGTAAGGGTGAAAAAAAATTGTTCATGATCCCATGACTCCAACGTATTAAACCATGTTGTATGTGTTACTTCTTTGTCCATATCTATATATCATGTCATTGATTGAGGTTTCTGTGATATTTTCTTCACTTAGTGTGATGGCCTATAGCCATCTTCAATGGAACCGTAAACATACAAATGCATGTATTAACATATACGGTGTATATAATGTACTCAACCACAAACTTTGTATTTATTGATTTATGATTGGTGTAATAGTTGAAATGTAATATTCACTTAAGTTAATTCTTATTAATTGAATTAATGAAACCTTATTATTCCAGTCTGTGAATTCAAATTCTTCAGTAATTTTACCTCAAATGGGTTGAAGCGTGTCCTGTTATTTTGTAGGACAAAAAAAGGGAAATATGTTCATTAATAAATACACAATTTAAGCAAGGTCTAAATAGAAAATGAAGGAACTCTGGTAGCATAGTGGTTACAAAGAGGGCTATGAACCCCAAGGTCAGCAGTTCGAAACTACCAGCTGTTCTGCGGGAGGAAGATGAGGCTTTCTGCTCCCGTAAAGATTTACAGCCTCGGAAACCCTGTACAGGATTGCTGTAAGTTGGAACGGACTCCTTGGCACATAACTGCAAACCACCAAATAGAAAATTACTCATTTACTTGAGAAAAAATATTTATATATGAAATATGAGTTTGTCTGCAGACACCAATGATGCTGTACATAAAGGAAAAAGTCCAAACAGTCTTTCTACTGGGAAATATTTTGAAAATAGTAAGTTGAAGTTAATGAATGCTGTTGTTAAGTACCATGATGTTAAGCCATCGAGTAGGTTCTGACCCATAGAAACCCTATAGAGGGTTTCTGAGGAGGAGCTGGTGAGCTTGAACTGCCAATCTTGCAGTTCAAATGGCTTTGCAGTCTGGCACATTAACCCACAGCACCACACCAGGACTCCAAAGTTAATGAATATACGTCAAAAATAATAGAATTCCATTCTCTAAACATGGCCAATAATTCCTACCTATTGTTAGTTCAGAATTTCCACCATAGCAGTGGGTCTGTCTTCTTTTGGTTTGGCTAGTTTAGGCTGGTTCCCTAGCCCCTCTAGCCCTTTAAAATAACTTTGAATAAAGGATGTTTTACTGTATTTAATTTTCTATGTTCCTGAGTATGACTGGAATAATGGAATTTTAGGAGGATTTCATAAAAGGCTCGAGTCCACTCTTTGTACAAATCCTGAAGTGAGCTAACTTAAATGAGTAGTCATTGTTTGCCTGGCACAAAGCTTGGTCTACAGTAGGTCCAGAAAGCTTTGTAAGTTCATAAGAAGATGAATGAATGCTTGAATGAATGAGTCCTTCTCATCCCTCCCCTCTGCTGAATGCAGTCCAAGCCCCCTGGAATATGTAGCGTAGAGGTTACGAGTTGGGCTGCTAATCTCAGGGTCAGCAGTTCGAAACTACCAGCTGTTCCACAGGAGAAACAGGAGGCTTTCTGCTCCCATAAATATTTACAGCCTCAGCAACCCTGTACAGGGTCACTATGAGTTGG